AGCAGGGGGAGTGGGAGAGGGAGAAGCAGGCTTCCCGCCGAGCAGGGAGCCCAACACGGGGCTCGATCCCAGGGCCCTGGGATCATGACCTGAGCCGAAGGCAGACGCTTAACGACGGAGCCACCCAGGCGCCCCAAAGATTTTTTTTTAAGCAGTCATGAGTTCTTATGTCTTCTCTTTCAGGAGATGACTCTGCTTTCTCTTTGTTGTGAAGAAAGTAAAGTGGAAACGTGAGGCCATCAGAGAAGCCTGCAGCGGCCTCTCAGACTGAGCGGCAGCGTGGCGTGGAGTCAGCCAGAAGCTCCTGACCTTGACCGTGGTCACAGCCTTCCTTCCAGCTTCCATGCCCTACACCACACGATAAAAGTAGTGGCCTCCAGAAGCCGTTCTCTGACTCTGCTGCAGAAATGGTGCTTCCACAGCTGCTGGCAGCTTGTGAAAATTGCAGATTTCCAAACTCTGTCTCCGAAGAGTCTGATTCAGTAGGTCCTACTGGGGCCCGGGGACCCACCTTCTGAGGCAGGTGTGGCCTGCACCCACATCTGGAGAAGGATGGAACCCCTGCTCAGTATCCTCCCAGAGCTACTCAACTGCACTTCACTTTGAGAAGAAAACCAACTCTACTCCAAGGTTTTGAGATCTATTTCACTGCATTTTTAAAGTTGTATTCTGATAAATTTAGCCAGTCCATAGCTACAGTGCCTTAAAGTCTTCCTCTGAGGGTTGAAGCAAAAATAAATAAAATAATAAAATATAAAACAAAACAAATCAACCCCAGAAGTTTTGACGAATAATGCAGACTCTTCTTAGGAATTTTTGAGGATACAACACAGCACTTTACATTGCAATATTCAAAATTCCCTTCTCTCTCTCTCTCCCTTTCTCCCTCCGTGGAGCTCCCTTCTGGCCCTGCAGCCCTCACCTCTCCCACCTCTGCCCCGAGCAAGTCTGCCTAGACCCCATCTCCTGGGTCAAGGACCTCCCCACCCCCTGCCATCAGCAGCCCACTGGGAAATGTAGTCTGGTCTCTTGCCCCAGCTGCTTTTCTCTCACATTGGAGGCTGGAGTTCTACGGGAAAAAGTACCACTGTGTTAGCCTTCGAGTGCAATCAGAAGTTCTAGACTCGCAAATATAATGCATCAGAGAAAAAAAAAGCCAATGAAAACAGGGGTCCCCTGGTGGTTTTGAGGAAATATTGGTATTGATTAGAAAGTGGAAGAGATCCCAAAGGACTTTAACCACTTAAAACTAAAACGGGAAAAACCTCAGACGTTGTCTGAGTGGGAGGAAAACTGAAATGGAGGTTTCCTGAGGGCTAATCAAGGCAACTCCTTGTAAACAAGTAGGTAAGAACACAGCAGAGCCAAGACACTTCTCCTGTGGGGACACAGCCCTGTGCTGGGGGGCTTGGTGAGGAGACTGATTCTCACAACCTGGCTCATGGGGTCAGTTGTCAGTGCCCCCGTGATCAGCTGCCATGCATCTGGATTCTCAATCGAGATGCCTGCTCAGACAACCACATGGGGCCCAGGGGACAATGCAACCAAATGCATCTGGAGACGATGCCACTGTGGAATTTGAGCTGGATATTCAAGAAGATATTCCAGTTAGTAGGTATCAGCATGAGCCAAGATTTGAGGCAGAAAAACACGAGGTTGGCTTGAGACAGAGCAAGCATCCCATGTGTGTGTGGGGGGGGGGGGCATAGAATTAACACGTGGAGAAGTCTTGAACATCCGTGTGCTGCTCATTACCGAGCTCTTGTCCCTCAGCTCCCACTGCACCCTCTCTCCTGGGCTTTGTGCTGCTGGGGCTGGAGGTCTGCAAACCACATCGCCGCTGTGCCAGCAGTTCCCTGTGCCGACAAAGGGGGCGCTCGAGGGAGACTGCAAGGCTGGAGGAGGAGGCCGGGAGGGCCGTTTCCTGTCTGCTTCCTGTTCCTGCCCGCCTCACCCCAGCAGCCCTTCCTCATCATGTCAAAGGCTGCTCTTGCTTCCCTTTGGACCGGGTCTGGGAGCTTTTGACCGGCGAACCAGCCTCATTAGGCAGCCCGTGGGAGGCGCCAGCCCCGACCTCGGGACCTCCTCCTTAGAGCCCTGAAGTTCACCCCCATGGGGCCCTCAGCCAAGCTCCTAAAAGTTTTAATTCCAGTTTCTTCACTTTGTACCTCCAACTTAAGGGAAGGAGCCGCTCCCTGCAATTGTCTCCTCCATAATCCGGAATTTTCACCTTTCACTTTATCTTAGCCTAACGGCCAAGAAGCCATTGAGTTTTTAACTTGCAATTACCTACTTTATTACCTAGTTGACAGATCTTTATATTAAATTCTACTAAAATAGCTGCTTTGATTTGTTTCCTGGTTGGATCCTGACTAATAAAACCAGAAAGGGAAATTAAATCTCTATGTGATGAGGAACTCTTATTCCACAAATTTAGAAGTACAAGAATATCTTTTCATTCGTTTACTTAAAACAAATTAAATCCTACCCAATGTGTGTTCAACCCATTAGGCTAGACATTAGCAGGGCTCTGACTCCCAGCCCAGAAGCAAGTAAGGACGGAGGGAGGCTTACATAGCACCAGAATATTCATCTGTGAGGACACACTATGGTATGTACAACCTGGTCACTTTGAGATTCCTGCTGTCAACCCACTAGCCTCATGAAAGCCCATGCTTTAGAATAAAGGCTAATCTGGTTAAAGAGAAAAGGCTACTCTAGATCTGCCACAACAAAGATTACAACAAGGATTGAAAAAATCTAGCCAAACTACAAGCAGATTAACCACTTGCCAGAATAATGATCTGCACTACTCAAAGGAAGACAACAAAATCCAGATACTCAACAATGTAATATTCACAATCACAAATCACAGCAAATTAAAACCACAGTGAGATACCACCATATACCCATGACAACAGTAAAAGTTAAAAACCTGACAATACCAAGTGTTGGTGACATTATCAGAAACTGTAACTTTCATACACTGCTGGTAAAAATGTAAAATGGTACAACCACTCAGAAAAATTTGGCGGTTTCTTGTGATGTTGCATTTACACTAACTGTATGACCCAGATGTCCCACCTCTAGGTATTTATCCAAACAAAATGAAAATATGCTTACAAAAAGATTCATCTTCATGTGGTCCTAATAGACTTACTCATAATAGCCAAGAAATGAAAACAATTCAAATGTCCATCAATAAGTGAATGGATAAACAAATTTTAGTGTATTTACACAGTGTGATATTACACAGCAAAAACTATTTCTAATATACAGAAGAAATTCACAAACATGCTGAGTAGAAGATTTTGGGCACAGAAGAGTACCCTTAAATTGACCCTTAAACAATGGAGGTTAGGTGTAAACTTAATTACTAATAGCCTATTGTTGGTCGGAATCCTTACAGGTAACATAGTCAATTAACACATATTTTGTATTGTTATATGTATTATATACCATATTCTTACAATAAAGTAAGCTAGAGAAAAGAAAATGTTATTGAGAAAATACGTTTACAGTACTGTACTGCAAAAAATCTACATATAAGTGGACCCCTGCAGTTCAAACCCAGTTGTTCAAGGTTCAACTGCATATAATGTATGATATTTATGTGAAATTCACCTGCAATGATAAAAATCAGATCCAACTATGTAGGTCCAGAAGGTGGGGGAAACTAGTTGGGAAGAGACAGTAGGGAATTTGGGGGTGGGGATGGAAATATTCTATATGTCATGTGGGTAATGGTTACCACAATGTGGATACTAAGTTGTTTTTTTTTTTAATTCATCAAACTGTACATTTAAAAGAGTGCATTTTATGTGTAAATTATATCTCAGTAAAATTAAAATATATGTTTACAGTTTAAAAAAGAGTACTGGGGGAAAATTTGTCCTTTAGGTGAGTGGAAGATGGATCAAAAAGGCAAGAGACCAGTGGCAGAGGTCATAAGTTGCCTTCTGAGTAAGCTAGAAGCCCAGGTGTTCTTGTAGGTTTGGTCTTTCAAACCCAAAGCCCAGGCTCACAGTGTAGAGTAAAAGGAAACAAAAATTAGCATTCCAAGGGGTGACTGGGTGGCTCAGTTGGTTGAGCGCTGACTTCTGGTTTTACTTCAGGTAGTGATCTCTTGGTCTCATGGGGCTCCCGGCTCAGTGCGGGGTCTGCTTCAAATTCTTTCTCCCTCCCCCTCTGCCCTTCTCTGCTCACACACACTCTCTCTCTCAAATAAATAAAATCTTTAATTTTTTTTATTTTTTCAAATTAGCATTCAGGGATGAAGGTGGTACAAATGCCCAACAACAGAAACAGGATGAGCAAACTGAAATGAGTGGATTCGATGAGTCACTGATGCACCCAGCCAGGCCCTAAGGGCGCTATGCCCTGTGGATACGCAGGAAAACCAGTTTGCTATAGGTACTGCAATAGGGCCAGCTACCACAACGTAGTGGGAATGGAAATCGCTGGAGTTTGGCAAACCAATGTATGTGAGAAGGAGCTTCAGAGACCGCCTGGTCTTGGAAGCCTGGGTTCCTACAAGAATATTGGGGTGGGGGAAGGTCATTAACCAGAGAGACCCACTCAGAAGGACAGGCCAGACGTGGCAAAGAAGGGGAAGTATTTAGCCTGGAAACTTCTGAGCTCAGAGGGCCTACAGGACAACCAGGTGATGCCAAGCAGTAGCTGGGAATGTAAAACGCAGGAAGGACAACACATGTGGGTTTCTAAGTCCACTCGAATAAGCCTTGTTCTTTTATACTAAGTACCTCTGCACCAGCTGTTCCTTTGCCTGAAACACTTTCCCTCTCCTCCACATCCATCAAGTCTACTTTGCCTAAAAGACCAGTTCAAATGGAACCATAAAAGTGATCCTGGACTCCTGTAGGCAAGCTAAATAGCTTTGGCCCCCTCCCATCTTAGTGTGCTAATTGCGGGTGAGTGGAAAGACTGGACTGAGAAGGGCCTGAACTCTGGGGTCGGAGTGATCTGGATTTGAATCCTACCTGCCAATCATACCAGCGGTGTGATCCTGGATAATTCACAACGTCTTGAGTCTCGGAGTCCTCCTAGGTGAAATGGAGAGAACACTGAACTCCTAAGGTCATTTCATTTGACAAATAGAAGCCTAACTGCGGCCGATTGGCGGTGCAAACAGTGGTATGGTCCCTGCAATTGTTAAAGGACCTGTTCTCTCTCGTTCTCTAGACCGTGAGCCCCACCAGGCAAGGGTCCCTGTTGTCTCCGGGTTTCCGTGAGCCGGCGTTCACATCATGCTTGGCGCTACAAAGAGCTGGAGGAAATGTGGGCGAGGGACACCCGCGAGCCATTCAGGCAGGGCTCACGGGAATCCCGCGCAGGTTTCGCTGCGAATTCACTCAGAAATCACATCTGTGATTTGGCAGCCGCAGGAATGAGGCCAGCAGCAGCCCGCCACCTTCTGCCAGAAAGGAGAGTAATAACATCTGCAACTGTGAGTCACTGTAGAGGTTTCACTGCAGACGCACCTCGGGGAACCCGGAGGCGGAGCCGGGAGCGGGGAGGGGTCTTGGGTGCCGATCCGCGTTCCCCAGGGTGCAACGAGAGTGAAAAGCGACTTGGGCTGAGTTCGGGTACTGCGGGGAGGAGAAGATGGCCACCGCAAGGATTTTCCTGAGAGGGTGGCCTCGGGGCGGCGAGAACCCGCCTCAAGCACCACGACAGTGGGGACAGCGAGGATGTGACCCCGCGTGGGAGGCTTGCTTCCCTAGAGGACCGCTGGGGCCCTGGGGCCTTCTCTGGAAACCCCACTCCGGAGAGCTACACTGCATGTTGCTGGGGACCAGCAGAGTCCCGCAGGACGCGAAGCTCAGCACAGTTAAGGTGTCCGGCGTCCGGGGACCCAGCAACTCGGACGCAGACTGCGACCTGAACAGCGAGCCGCCGCGGGCGACCCCACCCAAGTGCGTGGGAGGACGGCTCTCCGCCAGCAGCGGCAACTCCTCCTGGGAGCGAAGGCCCGGCCCTCGGGGCGTGGCCCGGGAGTCACTGGCCAATCCGCGCCGCGAGGCTCGGTCACGTGGCCTCCCGCCCGCCAGGGTTTTCCGCCTTCCGCCCTGCGGCTCCGCCCAACGCGGCGAAGAGCCGCTGGCACCACGCCCTCGAAGAACTTGTCGCGAGAGCAGCCCAGACAGCCTGTCTTCTCGTCGGTCCGACGCTGCTTGGCCCCGCCCTCCGGAACGGGGGGCTGCGAAGCGCGGCGGCTCCGGTGCGGCGTGCTGGAGGCGCCCGCCAGGAAAGGGCAGGGGCGTCGGAGGGACGGGGCTTTACCCGGCCGCGCCTCCCCGCCAGGACAGCAGTGCGCGGCGGGGCTGCCCTGGCTTCCTGTCGCATCAGCCAGGCCCCGGGGACCCCGAGGCCCTGGATGTGCACTTCCCCGGGCCGGACGCGGCGACCGGGTTAACAGGCGTCAGTGGGCGACCTCGCGTCCCGGGAATTCCCGCCTTCTCAGAGTCTTTGTCACCACTTAACCCACTGCAAATCTGAGGCACGGGAGAACATTCCAGCAGGAAAGCCGGGGTCGACCTCATCTGAGAAGCTGTGGTGTGAGCGCAGCTCGAGTTTGCGCATTGCACGAGTGCTCAGGCTTCTCCCCAGAAGGGTTCGCCTCTGCTGCAGCTACCCTGCAGGGCGCGCTTTGTCCTCCCCATTTTAGAGATGAGGCAGCAGGCTGTGACAGGTTTGAGGAACTTGCCCAGGGTTGCGCAGAGCCAGGCGTTGCAGCTCAGCATCTCGAACCAGAACAGCCGCCGCTGCTTCTGAACGACCGGCCTCAGGACCCTGAGGTCTGGGGGAAAGGCTTGGCTACATGCCCCCGCGCACGGGTCAGGGAATGGGCTGCACACTTGATGCCCTGTCCCTGAGGTGCCCGCTGCCGAGCCTAACCTCAGGTGGCCAGCAGAAGACAGCCTGTCACCAGGACGCACCAGAGCCCCTTGCATGTTTCTGGCCTCGGTGCTGCCCCTGGTCCCAGCCTTCAAGCCCCAGGGTCTTGCCGGTGTGGATCTAGAGGAAGGAGCAGGCAGACGGGGGACCCAGCTATAATGAGGATGCCCTGGCCATGAAGGGCCGCTTCTTCACCACGGGGCTGCCAGGAGTGAAAAAATGGGCTTCCTCAGATACACTTCTCTGAGGGAACTCCAAAGGAGATATTAAAATTGTCCCAATTTATAGTCATTCATGTCAAATGAACATTTGTCTCAGGCCCAACATGACACCTTCGTGGAGCAAACTAATCTTCGGCCACCTACAGGTGAGTCAGAGGCCACCACCACCACCATTTATGTTCCCCGGAAATGCCCGAAATGCTACCATTAGCAATTCTGTAAGATGAAGAATCATCCTCTCTAGATTCATTGATAGATGAAATATTTTAACCCCTGAATTTCTGATAGGAAAGGAGGTAAATTAAAGCACTGGGTTCCCAGGGAGAGGGAAGAGAGGACACAAACAAAGGGGAAGGGGCTCCCCTCCCAGGAGGGACTCTGGTTAGGGAATCTAAGAGGGATCTTTCCACTTAGTGCAGATCCCTCAGGAAGCTGTAAGACCTGGTGTGTCCCACTCACTTAATACTCCCCAAGCCTTAGAAGGGTGCTTTTCTGCCCTCTGTGAGGTTCTGAGACCAGATGAACCTGCTGAATGATCACAGCCACCGGTGGCCACATTCTGGGGGGTATGAATCCCAGCACTCTCTGCTAGCCAGACTTCCCTCTGAGTGGCAGAAATGGGAACCCTTTCTGTTTCCCATTCCAGGAAGCCAAGCAAAGCCATATTCAGAAAATAATGAGAAAGAGCCATTAGGTCAAAGGAAAACAAGCCAATAAATCAACTGTATATGGCACTACAGAAGAGATTAAGAACCCCAAGGTGACATAAGCATTAAACATTATTATTAATGTGGGGAAACTTGATTCTAGTCACAGTGTTCTTTCCCCTCCCAGGGAGCATGCACCTCTACATGAATTAGGAAAAGGCGTGCCTTCCTCAAGATACGTTATGCTGTCTGCCAGAAAAAACCTAGGATGACCTTAATGAGAATGGTGTCCCTGAAGTTGCTCAGTGCATGACATACACCACTGTACAGGGTGGCCTGGACTGCAAAGCATACTTGGATATCCTTCATGGCAGAAGGTCATACACACCACTGATCAGACTGAGACTCCCCAAGCGCCAAATACAGTTTACTTTGTGATCAGGAGCTAAGATAAAAGCCAGAGAGGCCCCTACATCTGCAAGGTTCAAAAACGTAGGGCTTCCTTTGGTGACCTCAGGGGCACTCACAATACATAATCATACAGGGGCTGTGCACCCTGGCTTGAATGCAATCACTGCTTGCCATCACAGGATACTTAATATTGTAGGTACTGTAAAAAGACATAATTTATTAGGTTTGCTTTTTGCTGAAATAATCTGGGGCTCTTATTTGATGTTGATTTGGGTCAACCGGTCCAAATGCTATGTATTGTATTCTGTTTCGTAGAATTATCTATTTTCAAAGGAGTGGTTTTTGGAACAAGAACAAGTCACACGGGGGTGATGGGGAGTGGTTACGGTTTTGTATGGCTGTTGAGCCATAATCAGCCTTCTTGTGAAACAAAAGTCTGACAAGAGTGCTTTATATTTTCTCAGATGATTAGCACGAATTATTACAGGAGTTTCAGAAAGTGCATTTCTAGATGTATCCTTTGAAGGAAAAGACAACTTTAAAACGCCATTTTTCTAACAGTAAGCAAAGAAAAAAGATAAGGTCATATAAAACGAAGATAACGGGAAGGGGACTAACATGGGAGACAAGTCTCCTAAAAGCTCATGACAGTGTTGTCTGATTACACTAAAGCACATGCTGAATTTGGGTATACAGTGAAAAACAAGTGCAGTGGAGTAAAAAATAATTTTTTATTCAGCTAGCACTGGTCTACTAGAGAACAAATTTCTTGTTGGAGAAAACAACTGTGTTATGTTGTAAGTAGATTAATATTTTCCAAAATTGACCACTGTAATATTTCTGTTCTCATATGTTCTTCCCAGATGTTGCCATACTCCCTTTAGGGGATGGCGTCTCTTTCCACCTCCCCATGAAACTCAGAGGGCCTTTGCGAATAGAATTTGATGCCTCGAATGCAGCAGAAGCAACATGGCCGACTCCCGAGGCCAGGCCACAACGGTGATGGGGGCGCCACTCAGTGTCCTCAGTGTTCTGGAGCTTGTTCTCTCTCCTTGACCCCCTCCACACACCTCTCTCCCCTCACCTCCCCCTCCTACCTCTCTCCTCTCCACCCACCCCACACACTTTTCTCTCTCTCTCTCCATGTCTCTCCTTTCCCCCTTTCTGTCTCTCTCCTCCTCTCCCTTGAAACCCAACAGCTTGCTGTGAGGTGCCCAGAGGACAGCCTGGCCCTACAGGAGCCCAGGTCCGTGGGCTCTCAGAGGGAAGGCTCCAGGAGAAACATGGGAATAAGTTGCAGGACAGAGACTAAAGGCAACTAGAAGTCCAGGGAGAAAATGTTCTACAAGAAAAGGAATGAAATCTCAGTATACAAGTTGGCTCTGCAGGAAACAATTATTGTCTTAATAACATACTGAGAGTACACGGGGAGGACGTGGGGCAAACAGAAATTCTCTTCTCATGATAGAAAATCAGCAGATGATGTGAAAAAGAGGTGTCTCAGGAAATAACAGGATAAGCTCATGTGGAAGCGTGGTGGGCAGAGTCATGGTCCCCAAAGATGTCCAGGTCCTAATCCCTGAAACCTGTGGATTTGTTACCTCACAAAAGGGACTTTGCAGATGTGATGAAGTCAACGACTTTGAGGTGGGGAGATGATTCCCGATCATCCCAGTGAACCCAGTGTAATCACAAGAATCCTTGAAAGATGGGAGAGTCAGAGAGGAGCCATGGAAGCGGAGACCCAAGGGATGTGCTTGCTGGCTGTGACAGTGGAGGAAGGGCCATGAGCCAAGGAACGCAGGAGGCCTCTAGAAGCCAGAAAAGGCAAGGGCACAGCTTCTCCCCTGGAGGCTCTGGAAGGAACCAGCCCCGCCCACACCTCGATGTCACCCCAGTGACATTCATTTCAGACTTAGGACCTCCCGAACTGTATGCCAATAAATGTGTGTTGTTTTATGCCACTAAGTTTGTGGTCATTTTAAAAGCAGCCACAGGAAACTAACACAGGAGGTAACATCCAGAAGGAAGAGCAAGAAGGGTTGGAGGGGTGTCCTGGGAAACGTGGCCATGCGGGGAGAGGAGTGGCAGCAGGGACCACTTCCACTGTGCCTCTGTTAGTTTGGCAAGAATTGTACAAACTCAACAAGGGATCCTCACATAGTAGTAACCCAGAGAGAGGAATACGTGAGAAAACTGGACTCGCTATAGGGATGGAGCCTGAACCGTTAAACCCACAAGGGTTCCATGTGCACCTACTGTGTGCCCCGCCCACCACACACACACACACACACACACACAAGGCATTATGAGCGACTTTAAAAGATGCTCAGGCCTCAGCACTCATGGGTCCCTCAATCCCACTTGCCTCCCACCTCGGAAGACCCAGAACCAGGCAGCACTGCCCTGGGCGGCCAGGCCCCAAGGCCAGTGGGCACTGGGAATCAGCAGAGATCGCGATGGGTTGGTCATCAGAATGAACTGCTGGAGCTGACCTTGGGGAGTTGGAGGACTTTTGATGAGGGGGAGAAATGAGAAAACAAAAGCCGGGAGAAGGAAGTGCGAACCATGTGTGTTGGGGGGCACTGTGGAGACCAGCGGAAGGCTCCACATGGAAGGGATTCGCCCCCAGGACAAGGTGTGGAAGCAGCATCCAATGCCCAGCTGCAGATCTGCACCCCTGTCGCGTGCAAGTAGGCTTGCCAGGGACTCTGACATGGCTCAGACCCATTCAGAACATTACCTTGGAGATTGCCTGCGCTGGTGAGCAGGTCCCAATTTGAGCCCATGGCTCTTCCTCTGAGATACCATCTACCGAGAATTCATTCAGGCCCCGAGAATCCTGTGATGAGCAGTACAGCCTGGGAGCCTCCGGGGGGCTCACGCCTCAGAAGGGGATTGGTGAGCACCTGCGTTTATGCCAGAGAGTGCTGAGCGCTTTGAGGAAAAGGAAAGCAGGCCAGGGAGGAGGGTGCGCTGTTTTGGATGGCAGAGCCAAGAAAGGACAGAAAATGACATTGGAGCCAGAGGCCATGGCAGCTAGCTGCTTGGGACTTGCCTCGACTTACCTGTTGTGGCACCTTGGGTAAATCTCCGCCATGAACCAAATGAGGTTCCTTCGCGTCTGTCAATAATACCAACAACAGCCCCCTCGCCACCAGAAACCCCTCCAGATGGTCCCTCCCATTTGCAAAACTTACGGCTCAGCCGCCCAACTCCGCTTGCCCCAAGCACTTACAAGCTGTTGGCCACGCTGGGCTGGGCAATCTCCGAAGACAGCCACAGACACATGGTGACCTTACGTATCGGGACTCTGGAACGTGGCACGCTCAGGAGCTCACCGAACACACTGTTCCCCCACAGATCCTTCCTGGAGCCCCCACTCACTATATAAGGCTGTGCAGTCCCACACTCCTTCAGGTCCACACGGTCGTCAGCACGGGTTTGCTGTCGCTATCTTCGGAAAGAGCACACGTCTTCTGAGTCTCGCTGAGGGCAGGTCCACCTGTGGTTATCTTTTGGCAGGGCGTTAGCCTTACAAAGGCACGCACATGCCCATGCCACTCAGCAGACGGAATTCAGGCATGTGGACCTGGAGCTCGGAAATGATCCTCCCCCTTTTAGGGACTGGAGGTAAGACTGGGCTGGGAGTTCAACTCGACTCTCCGAGTGTTAGCAGCCATGGCTCCTAAATTCCACTGTGCTGAAAAATCAAACAGGTGTGTATTGAAAAGGCCCCAAGACCCAGAGGTTCAGATTCAGACAGTCAGTCTGAAGAGGAAGCTGGAATTCTGCAATTAACAGGCCCCCAGGAGCTTTGGTTGCTGGTGGTCTGCAAAGCACACTTTTTTTTTTTTATTTGACAGAGAGAGACACAGCAAGAGAGGGAATACAAGCAGGGCGAGTGGGAGAGGGAGAAGCAGGTTTCCCGCCGAGCAGGGAGCCCGATGTGGGGCTCGATCCCAGGACCCTGAGATCATGACCTGAGCCGAACATGACCTGAGCCGAAGGCAGATGCTTAACGACTGAGCCACCCAGGCGCCCCTGCAAAGCACACTTTGAGAATCCGTTTTACAACCAAAACCTAGTGTTGGAGGCAAGTTTTTTGAGATGCCACCTCTAGGGCTACACATAGCTGTAAAGAACACAGAACAGGGATGCCTGGGGGGCTCAGTCGGTTGAGCATCTGCCTTGGGCTCAGGTCATGACCCCAAGCCCCGCGTCAGGCTCCTTGCTCAGCAGGGAGACTGCTTCTCCCTCTGCCTGCCGCTCCCCCTGCTTGTGCCCTCTCTCTCTCTGACAAATAAATAAAATCTTAAAAAAAAAAAAAAAAAAAAAAAAAACTATGCTAAAAAAACAAAACACAGAACAGCTTCCTGTTAAAAGCAAACCACAAAACACAACCCTCTCCGCCCCCCTCCCCCCCTCCACCCTGCACAGTTTAACAGAGAAGAGGTTTAGAGAGATGCTGGTAGAGAGGGGTGTATTTTTCAGCTTAGGTCCAGGGTTCCCAGGCTCCTCCCTCCAAGATCTGCCTTCCCCTTGGAATGTGGTTTTTTGTTTTTTTAACTCTGATTTCCACTATGCCCACCAAACTTCCAATCCCAGATCAAAGTCTCTTTCCTCTTATCTCCTGAGTATAACCAAAATTAGCTGATATTTGCAAAAGAATGTTAATAAAACACTGCAGAAAACTAGGAGAATCTTATTGAAAATGCAAATAGCCATGAATGTTCAAGTTTCCAAAATGTAGGTTTCTGGTGCTGAGCTGAGCATTCCTCCCCACCGCCACCTTCACCCCAGTGTCCTCGCCTCCTGGACTCCTGCTGGCCTCCATCCCTCTCCAAACACAACCCTTCCCTCCTCTGAGAACCCAGGCAGGAAACAGAAAAATGGTTTCTTATCCACATTCACACCTCCCCACCCACGCTGGTGCCCCCGGGGGGCTCTGGTCTCTCTGGCCCCAAGCTCTGGACTCCAGGCTCTGCAGAGATGATTTCATGCACACCTGTCACTGCGTGGGTAAGCACAACATGCCTGCCACAATAATCCACACACAGAGCAGCTACACGCGTGTTCCCTGCTGACCCACGCTGGTATACCACGGAATACAGCAAAAACTTGAGAACTGGCTCCTTGGATTCACGTCCAGTGAAAAATGTCAAGGTCTCCAGCCAAGAAGTCTACTCTCCCCTTCACACTCTCTCAGGGATCCCCACTTCCAGCACACACCTGCCTGAATTCTTATCCTCAGAGTTCAGCTCTTAACCTGAAGGCAGAGACCATGGCCACTGTGATGACTATGTTTGCATAACAAAAAAAAAAAAAGGAAGAAAATGAGTGTTGACATGATCAAATGTTTATTTGGATTACTGAATTGCTTCATGTGTAATGTCATATAATTCCCTAACGTTAAATTGCACTTAGATGTTTAACAGATCACCTTTACTGAAAAGAATCAGATTCCATGGAATGGAGACCGTCCTGGAAAATCTGGGATGTGTGGTTGCCGTAGTAATTGTTGCCTTCCAGAACAAACCCATGCCTGGCTAATTACAGCCTTCTATTTTTAAACTCATCTCCATTCTTGTCCCCCACCCCAACATTTCTCACACTACTTCAGCAATAAAATACTATTACTGTTATCTGTACAGCCTGTGCTGGTCTCAAAATAACTTGTTTCCAGTCAGCCCCTGCAGGACACAGGAGCTCCGGGGTCTGCCCACCACCCCCCGGAGCCAGGCCCGGGGAGGTCCTCTGGCAACAAGCCCCCCAGGGGAGGGACGGCAGAGCAGCATGGAGGCCGACCTGAAGGTCAGTCCCGAGCCTATCAGACTATGTCAGGACATCAGCAGCCGGATCAAAGCCTCAAAACCTGCAACCTGAGCAAAAGTTTCCAGCAGCCTTCCACTCTCTGGCTTGTGACCCAAAGCCTGGCTGCCTGGGGTCCTGCCAACTCTGTCTGAAGGCCTGTCCTTTCCACCGCAAGCCTGTGGGTGCTGTGGAAATGGATGAAGACCCCCAGTGAGAGCAAGCAAAGGCTATTATTTATTCAGAGCGTGCTGTAGCTAGGGAGTCAGCCACCGTGTCCGGCTCTGTTCGTTGCTAGGTCTCTTGTACTAAAGTCCCGCAAACTCAATGCCTTGGACGAAACGGACGCTCTCACCGTTCTAGAGGGCAGAAGGCTGTGGGCATGGTATCTGAAGAGCCATGCTCCCTCTGAAGGTGCTAGGGAGAATCCACCTGTTCCAGGCCTCTCCCCTAGCTTCTGGGGGCTTCCTTGACTTGTAAATGCCTCACCCAGGCCTCCGTCTTCAGGTCCACATGGCGTTCTGCCTGTGCACACATCTATGTCCAAATGTTCCCCTTTTATAAGGATCCTAGTCATATTGGATGAAGGGCCCGCTCTACTCCAGTATGACCTCATCTTAACTAATTACATCTGCAGTGATTTTATTTCTAAATAAGGTCATATTCTGAGATACTGGATTAGGACGTCAACATATGAGTGTCTGGGGGACACAACCCATAACACTTGCTCTGGCAGAGACTCAAAAGCAAGCAAAGCAGGGAGGGGGGAAGCTTTATAGTGCACAAGAGAGAAGGCTCCATGTGGGCCCTGATGAGAAGCTGTGGGCATGGGGAAGCTAACTAGAAGCAGGCATCCTATGTGATTGGTCATGAGGGCATATTTAGCTTTTTCATGTTGGTTGAGTTAGAAGTAGAGGCAAAATTCAGGGAAGTTAGCAGTCATTGACCTAGTCCTGGCTGTTTGGGGCTGGTTGCTGCAGAGGCTCTATGTTTACATATACCATCTCTCCATTGTCCATTCTGTGGACATTCTCTCAGTGCAAATGCTACCTCCTGCAGGCCTCAGGGTGCTGCTGGGGCTGGTGACCTGGAAAGATCTGCAGAGACGGTCTGGAGCAGGTGGTCTGCAAGACCCAGCCCTGGAAAGGCTCAGCGCCCCCCAAGAGCAGACCCACGATGGGGCAATCCCACAGTGCAGACCTGCTCAGGCCCTTACCCAGAGCAGAGGCCAAACGCCCAAGGGCCCCTTCGGCAATCTTCTCTTTCTCTTTCCACCAGGCTGAGCACAGCTGTGTAGTGGGAAAGTGTAGACACACTGACCCTAGAGCAGCTGTCCTCAGGCTTTTAGGTCTTAGCACCCCATTCAGGACTCCAAAGAGCTTATGTTTATGTGGGAGATAGCTATCAATATTCACCACATTAGAACTGAGAAATTTTTAAAATAGTAAACCCATTACATGTCAATGTAAATAACTTATTTTTATGAAAAATAACTATATTTTCCAAAAGAAAAAATTGCAAGGATGGCATGATTTTAAATTTTTGCAAATCTCTTCAATGTCTGGCTGAACAGAAGTCAGCTAGAGTCTCATGTCTGCTTCTGCATTTAAACTATTATGATGTCACACATCGTGTAGCCTCTGGAAAACCCCACATCACACTCATGTGAACAAAAGCTTATAACATGGTAGAATTATCATGAAAAATACCTTGACTTTGCAGAACCACTGAAAGGGTCTCAGGGACCCCCAGAATCCCCAGGCCCCTGCCATAAACTCATGCTTAGGGTTACCGAATCAGGGATCAAGCCCACAGCAAGCCTGCAGGGAGAAGGGCTCCTGGCAATATGGGAGGAGGATTATAAGCCATCCCAGTCAAATAGACTCAAATCTCACAAATTAGGAAAATGCCCCAAACCTGAGCAAAGAGATAAGAAGTTTTAGACCTGAGTTAAAGTCAAGGACTTTCAATATCTTAACTTCCCACTTGAAAATGCAAAGGCAGGGGTGCCTGGGTAGCTCAGTCGTTAAGCATCTGCCTTCGGCTCAGGTCATGATCCCAGGGTCCTGGGATCAAGCCCCGCGTCGGGCTCCCTGCTCCGTGGGGAGCCTGCTTCTCCCTCTGCCACTCCCCCTGCTTGTGTTCCCTCTCTCGCTGTGTCTCTCTCTGTCAAATAAATAAATAAAATCTTAAAAAGAAAAGAAAATGCAAAGGCAAAAAGAGCAGAAATGAAAACAAATAATGTTTGTCAGTTCATTTTTTCCTCCACTAGTTCCAAGATTATATGCAATTAGAAACTGATTTAACTGGTGGATGCTGACGTGCATCAGCACCCCCAGCCCCCAGAGAATAGAGCCCTGATTAGACCCAACATGGTCCATTGAGCACAGGGTGGTGAGCAGAAGATCAGCCACGGAATAACCATGTGGGAGTGTCTTTCTTTTCCAGTCCTCTCTCTTGGTCCAGCCTTCTCTCCTTCTCAAACTCCTCTTGGCATTTTCTTTTTCCTTCCCCCTCTGACTCTAATATGTACCCCAAATTGTGGTTTACCCTGACATTTAATATGCATAAAGCAGCCAGGCACTTATTAGAGTAAATTAAAACTAGAGGCCTTCTTCGAAATAGTTGGTTCTATGTTATATAAATTTTACCACATTAAAAAATATATGAATGCCCTTATTTTAACCCAAGCTTATTTTTGAAAATTTTTAATCCTATAAAAAGTATTTCAGCCATTAGTTTAAATAGGGAAGAGTGATTTGGAACTTCTGAGTCCATAAAATATGACACAGGATATATGTGTTAATTTTTAAAGGAAAGTTAGTGAGGGGCGCCTGGGTGGCTCAGACGGTTAAGCGTCTTCCTTCGGCTCGGGTCATGATCCCGGGGTCCTGGGATCGAGCCCTACGTCCAGCTCCTGGCTCAGCAGGGAGACTGCTTCTCCCTCTGCCTCTCCCCCTGCTCATGGTCTCTCTCTCTCTCTCTCTATATATATATATATTTCTGTGTCTCGAATGAATAAATAAAATCTCAAAAAAAAAGTTAGTGAATCGTGTAATGTTTCCAGAGACTATGTTCCAAATTATTTAAAAACATAAAGAACAACAAGTTAAATATGGACACAACCATAGAGAATCAGAGATACTCAACTCAGTTCTCAAAATGCGGGCTTATGTCTCCAGAAGTCACCTGCTTGACCAACCTGTCACTACAAAATAAATAAATAAGTAAATGTCCAAGCAGGGCATCTATCTCTATTCCAAAAGCACGAAGACATTCATAATGAATCGTTGAGGAAAGTAGATCTATACAAGGATAAAACTAGAAACTGGAAATAATGGCCACCTATTGCTACAATAACACCCCATAACAAACCACCTCAACACCCAGTATCTTTTCATTTTTATCATGGTGTTGCAGGTTGGTCGCGCTGTGGCTGATCCAGGCTGCAGCTTGGGATGTGGTCTCTTCCCCGTGTTCTTTGCATGGTAAGTAGCAGGAGGACAAGAGGTATGAAAAACCACACAGGCACATTTAAGGTCTTTGCCTGTATTTTACATTGACTAACATTCCTTTGGCCAAAGCCAGCCTACCTGGTTGCACCCAACATCAATGGGTACATTGTGTCCACAGTGAGAGGGGAATTGTTGCGGAATGATAATCCATCAACTTGGGGCAGAGAGCGAGCCCAGATAACATTTGTAGAGCAGTATCTTCCAGAAAACTTGAACAACATGTTGCTTTGATTTAAAGTCTGGTATGGAAGAGACCCTGTAGGGGAACAGTTCAATAAGATTCTTCTAAAATAAAAGCATCTTTTAAAAATGAGATTTATTTCTAACTCTGCATTTTGGAACACATATATTAAATTATATCAAGTAGAAAGAATGTGCTTTTTATAAGAAAAACTCTAAATCAAGTCATCTTGCCTGAGGACAAATAGTGAATAGTGGCCATCTTCACTCATTCATTTTTCATCCACACTTAGTGTTATCGGGTGAAAGCCATGTGCCAGGTGCTATGCTGGGGCTGTGGGGGATACAAGGATGAAAAAGACGCCCTGCCAAGAGTACTTAGTCCAGTTTAGAAAAAAAAAGAAAGAAAGAAATGTTCATAAATAACTGGAACTTGAGACACAAAGTGATAAATGCTGATTTTTAACACATAGATAAAATGCTCTGGGGGTTTAGCAGAGGGAGCATTACTTCCAGATGCTGAATAATGATAATATAATGGTTGACATGATTGCAAGAAACTCACAGAACATTCAAATCAGCAGATAATCAGCCCAAGCTCTTTATTTTACAGAAGAGGAAACAGGCCCAGAGAGAGAAGTCAGAGGGGGAGAACTTTTCCCTCCTTCCCTTCTAGGTTCTTGGCTGGTCTAATAATTAAACTGATATAAGACAGGAGATATTAATAGGAGAAAATCAAATAAAGTTTAATAACATGTATACCTCCTAGTTACAAGGGAGAGACCCAGGAAAACCGAGTAACTCTCATAAATGACCCAAGCCATCACCTTAAATTCCATCTTCAGCTAAAGACAAAAGATGCTGGGTTGGTGGGGGGAGTCAGTTATGGGGGGTGGCCAGGAAAAGCACAGTGAACGGGGTTAGGTGGTTATGCAGATTTAAGTCCCTGCCAACTCCACTGATTGAACAGTTTCTGGAGATTTAGCCCTCCGCCTCATCCTGGGATCGGGAGGGAGACACCTTACACATGGAGATTTCCTGCAAACATGCAAATGTCTCTTATAAAAGGGCAATTTCTACTTGGTTTTCAGAGCTCTTCCCAAGTTGGCTTCTTCTCAAAAATAACCAGCCTAAAACATTCCCTGTGCCAAAGAGGCACATTTTTGGCGGGGGGGCATATTTTGCTCTCCTTCAGTCCCACCTTTGAAACTTTGAAGAATTTTCACAGTCCAGAAGCTGAGTTGATAGATTACTCCCTATCTCACTGAACCAGTCACTCAGTCCTGGGAACAGGTCAGTTCAGGTAAACAGCTGTGTCTCATTCCAGGAGCGTCCTAAAGGTGAGCTCCCAAAGTTAGGAGAAATCAGGTGTTTAATATGGCATTTCTATGGAAACAAAGAAAAACAAAGGTTAATGATTGGAACAAATTATAAATCAGTTTCTGAGCCCAGGAGGCAGCCAGTCAAGAACATTTCTAGATGTCAGGCTAGAAGCATCTTCAGATAGTGAGGGCAGGTGGTAGCAATCTGATAGGTCTTCTTCCAGAAGGGTTTGCAGTTTGAATGTCTCTGGTGATCCTTCTGATCTTCAAGAGGCATGACGATTGTCTAACATGACCTGTTGCGTTTTCTCTGAAGTTTATAGCAAGTCGTTCATATTCAGTTTGCGGGACTTTTTGGGCAAAATTTTGTTCTTAGCGATTCCAAGTCAAAAGGTGGGAGAAAGTTGGAAATGTTAGTTTGGAGATCTGTGGCCAGATATTTGAGGAAACTGGAAGAATTCAGGATCCAGGTCAGTTTACAGGTAAATAACAAAACCTCGAAGTCAATGAACAGAATTGGAATTTAATATCCACCAGTTGTATTAATAGTTCCTATTGAAACATAATTTTTCTCTCTAAAATTACCCCATTTCTACCAAAGATCATTACAGTAAAATATATTTGTTTGCAAAATTAGTCTAGTCTCAATAAACTTGACCTGATTATTTACATAAGTCCAATAAGAGTAACAATTAACCATATAGACTCTTAATCTGCTTCACTGGAACTTTTCATAAGGAACCTCAAATGGGACTTTTAAAAGCCTCTCAAGGCCAGGAAGCCAAACGAAGGACTTGCCAGACTCGCCTGCAATACCTATAGATTTGGGTGATTCCTCTCTTCTTAAGGATCCCAAAATATCCTGAGGTTTCTGCACTTGCCATGAAGTGACCTTCCTTAAGCACCTGGCAAAACTGCTGGGAAGCCTGTAAGCAAGGGACGAGGCTGTTTTTCCAAGGGACTTTATTGGCTCCATAAAGTCAACTTTAGTTCCTTAAAGCTGTCTGGTCATATCCAAGCATGTACATCTCTCTCAAATATGACAGTCTAGTCAAAGCCTTGGTAATATAATCAATTTCCAGTTGTGTCTGTAATGTTACAAGGAGAACAGGTTCTTATTGAACTTATGCAAATAATTATATTGCCATAAAAATAAGAATACTCACTGAGAGTTTCTGAATTCTGGAGCGATCCGGTAAGGAGAAAAAGATAAATGTTTCATCTTTGTACACAAAGGTATGTTTAACCAAGTTGCTCTAAGACATAGGCAGCTAAATCAATGGTATGATCTTAAAATTATCAGATACCTGCATTCAAGAGTTCTTTCCATGAGTCTCACTAAAGAGGAAGCACTTTTGCAAAAACATCACAGTAAAACAATTAGTGTAAATGGCAAAAGATTTTTAAATGGCCACAGTTAAAGATTTGATGAGAGTTCATTATAATACAACTGACAAAGAAATTTGCTTATTTCTATAACATAAAACATTTCAAATTAATAATAGAATTATAAGTGATAGCATTGTACTGGGACATACCAGAATTCTAGGAATTTTATAAAATTTCTGGAACACCAATGTGAATAACATATATCCACACAAACATCACAGACCATTATGAAACAATACATAATTATCTGTTCTACCCAAGTGATAATAAAAGACTTCAAAGGCAAATACAGAAAGTTATATAGCTGTGAGCAAAATGTAGCTCTTAATATTGAGAAGACCCAGTTTTCTTAAGCAGTCAAAGACCACAGATGGTAAGGAGAATAGGAAATCATCCTGATAAAACACAAAATCTTTGCTTTTTAGGCAGATTACTTAAAAGGTAAAGAAAAACTATCTCTTAGGAGGAGGAGATTAATGGTCCCTGAAAAGTTTGTCCTTTTAGTAAATGAAAGAAAATCAAGTTTTAGCTTTACATAAATACACTACCGATTTTAAAGCTTAATTTTATAATCCTTATCATAAACTCATTACATTTTAGCCAACTTGACCACACAAAGTAAAATTCTCTTTCTTTCCCCAACTTTCTATGCTAGTTTTACTTTAGGACAATTTTACTTTCTTTTTCCTTTAACAAAAGTGCATCTTCATATCTCATACATTTTCTTATCCAAAATTCCTTTCGTACAGAGTTGTTTTCCTTATTACCTCTAGTAGCTTTAATTACATATGTTAAAATTCTTAACCCTTAGAAACTTTCATTTCTAGCAAAACTAAGAAGTAAGCAGTTGTGAACAGCCTGTTACACCCACATTTTTTAGATTGGCAAATTTATGAATACATTTCATAATTTCTAGAAGCATATGCCTTTTAAAAAAATAGTACAATCTCTCAGTGTGGCACAAGACATGTTTACTAACAGACACAAATATCTTTAGTGCCTCTGTAATAAGAAGCCAAAAATAGATAAACTTATGTTCAGTAAATGGTCTAGATATTCAATGAATTTCTCATCATTTAACTTAACTCAGCACAACTTTAAAGTTCCAAGTTACCAAAGAGAATTGAAATTATTTTTAAGTACACATACCATAAAATATAATTATTGTTAAAAAGTTCACCTAAAAACTCTTTTCCCACTTATAGCTATCTAACTCACTTGCTCCCAGTGATGATGCTTAGATTACTCACAAAAACCTCACAAGATATTACAAAGTCAACCATCATCCCAGGTTATTCTTCTTGCTGACAAGTTTTGTAAGAGATAACATGAATTTGGGGGCGCCTGGGTGGCTCAGTTGGTTAAGCGACTGCCTTCGGCTCAGGTCATGATCCTGGAGTCCTGGGATCGAGTCCCGCATCGGGCTCCCTGCTCAGCAGGGAGTCTGCTTCTCCCTCTGACCCTCCTCCCTCTCATGCTCTCTGTCTCTCATTCTCTGTCTCTCAAATAAATAAATAAAAAATCTTTAAAAAAAAAAAGAGATAACATGAATTTGATTATTCAACACAGGTAGTTGTTTATCTGCATTGCATTTAATGTCTTCACAAAGACACAACTATTTTAATTAAACTAACAAACTTCAACTAGCTTCCAGTTACCAAAGATTATCCCACATCACACGAACTTGAAAAATATTTGGCTTGGTTTCTATATTTCTGAGAGTTTTAGAATGCCTAATCCTTAATTTATATAAGTTAAATGCTTGTTTGTTTTGAAGCCAATTAAATAGAACTCTTTACAAATAAATTTTGGCAATACCATTCAGAGGTAGGGAAATGTCACACATCTGTAACATACATACGTAGATGCACATGAACATATAGACACAAATTTTACAGCTTTCGTTTTAAAATTCTAACCATGAAATGGGTATAATGCAAAACTCACTCATTTATGAAAGAGCAGTTGCATCCAAACTGTGTTTCTGGCAGATGGAATAAATTAAGGTTACCTGTTTAGATGGCTAGTGCTTTCTCTACTAATTTCTGCAGAAGACATCTAAGATTTTTCATTAGCCCAATTTCCAAATATCTCCCTTTTTCTCTCTTTCTTCTGGTGAGAAACATCTCCCTAAAGTTTGAATTTCAAAGAGTGGCTCTTCGGTCCTAGACAAGATGGGGATAGAAAGTCTACATCACAGAGACATGGGTGGCTCAGTTGGTTAAACTGCCAACTCTTGGTTTCTGCTCGGGTCGTGATCTTGTGATCGTGGGACCCAGGCCCTCGTTGGGCTCCATGCTCAGCATGGAGTCTGCTTGAGAGTCTCTCTCCCTCCCCCTCTGCTCGTGCATGTGTGTGTGTGCACATATATACTCTCTCTCTAAAATAAATAAATAAAATCTAAAAAAATAAAATAAAATGGGCGCCTGGGTGGCTCAGTCGTTAAGCGTCTGCCTTCGGCTCAGGTCATGATCCCGGGGTCCTGGGGTCGAGTCCCACATCAGGCTCCCTGCTCGGCAGGAAGCCTGCTTCTCCCTCTCCCACTCCCCCTGCTTGTGTTCCCTCTCTCGCTGTGTCTCTCTCTGTCAAATAAATAAATAAAATCTTAAAATAAAATAAAATGACTCCTCCAAAAAAAAAAAAAGTCTACATCACAAAGGCACAGAGAGAGTATCCAAGTTTTCTCCAACATGGAGTTTTGGGGGCATATTTGCCTATAATCAGAGGTCTAGGATAATTTAAAATTTTCCTTCTTTTTCTTAAGTGCAGGACAATTCTGTTATGTCCCAGTGTCTATGAGCATTGTGAGATGAATATGTGAGGTCTGGGGATTGGTAAAGATAGGTGGGGCTGAATTGCTTCTAGAGGCACATTTCAGGTTTTGTAGAGATTTGCAAGACAAAGCAGTGGCTTCCAGTTCCCCCCAAAATGGAGTGGTAGCCTGAATGATATCAAAAGAGTGATATGCCCATCCAACTACATTTCTTTTGTTTCTTTATCTCAGGGAGATTTCCAGCTAAGGTAGAAATTAAAAGTTTTTTTTTTAATGTTCTAGAAATTCAGGGTTTAATGCATTATGTCTTGAAAAAGCCTGTATAAAGTGTTTAACAAAGGTTTTCAGATGCTCTCCTTCTTTCTGAGTGCATAATTCAACATTAGACCAATTTATTTTAGGGGGGAAATCCTCTAATATTGTTCCTATCAAGCCTTGAATATGAGCCTCCCGCTGAGCCATTTCCAGGTCATTTGTAGGAGGACCTGAGAGGCTCTGGCCATCTGTATCCTCAGAGAGGAAGGTCTTCCCCAGGGGGCCATCGGGTTTGCCAGATAACCATAGTTTAATCATGGGAGGAAAGAGCAACCCTTAGCAGCCAATCCAGGTCCCAGTGAATGGGTGGTGAATGGCCACTATTGTTTCCAACTCGTCTCTGAATTTGGTAGGATCTTCTGAAAGTGGAGGTAAAAGGCTTTATAATTTAGGAGATCTGTTGCTGTCCAGGTGATATGAAGTCTTGGGGGTGGGGGTCCAGATACATCCATCAAGAACACTGTATGGGAAGACCTGAAGCTGGCAGAGCCTGATTACAGACCCCTGGGAAATAGGAGGAATTGTAACAGCAAAGCGAGCCCTACCACCCTTCTTGAGTGTTTCTGCTAGTCACTTCCTGGAGTTTAGTATTTACATGAGTATCGGTACACCTTGAGCCTGGAGAGCAGGCCCTGCTCTCTATAAATCTTATGAGGAAAGGGAGATCAAAACAGGCAGCTGGGTGTTTATGGATTTTCTGGGGAAGTTACAGGAGGCTTGGGATATAAGGGAATTTGCTGAGGTGGTAGGGCTGGATTTGAGAGGGGGTTTAGACCAGGGGCTCAGAGAATCAAAAGATCTTCTGGTGGGTCAAGGAGAGGGATTTGGGAATAAAGGGGGTGTATAGGAAGGAGGAGAAGGGGATTTACATTAGATGTGGATGCTAATTTTTATTCTAAGTCTCATTTCTGTTCTTCCATCTTTTTAAGGGAGTCCCTAAGGCTAGCTGCTATACTTCTTTGTGTCCACTTTTAGTTTGGTCTTTCCATAAGTACCAACAAAACAATTGTTTAGGATAAGAGCTCTCTAAAAAAATTTTTTCAAATATAGAAGTTTGTCCGATAAAGATTCGTCATCTGGCCTTTGACAAGTAGGATCATTCTTTTTTTTAAGTAGGATCATCTATTAATCTTGATAGCACCTGAAACCAATGAGCCTTTTAACCACTCAACCGTGGATGCAGGAGGCAGCCCAAAGGAGAGGGCAAACGATGCAGCCCTCACAAGATCCAGACAGTGAGTAAGATCCCGGCGTCAGCCTCAGAAAGCAAAGATGTCACAGGCAGTAAGAATGGTGAGTGCAAACATTGTCTCTGGTGTCCCATGAGAACGTGAGAGGCCTCCAATCACAGACCCACTAACCTGTGACACCAGGCAAGCACAACTGGAGTGGGACTTTTCCAGCACTCAGCAAAGGTTGAGACAATGGCCTCTTACAGACAAGACCCCTTAAGACAAACTCCCCTGAGAGCTGATATAGTCAGACAAAGAGAACGGACACCAGCCACCAGTCCAAGTTGTTACCTGGCTAAAATCAGGGCTTCCCGTGCCCCTCCTCTTGTCAGATCCAGTCGAGTCGACCATCCACCAAATGCATCCCCTAGCCGGCAAGACCAGAGAGAATATTCTCACTGGTCACAAAGCCAAGACCCCAAGACATAGAACAAGACAAAAGGGAAACCTCATCCGGCACGTTATGCATTAGCTAAGTAATGCCCGTTAACAGCATTAGCTAAGGCTTGGGTCTCTTGGAACCAAACTAAAAGCTCAGAGGGATGTGCCTCTGGGTTGAGGACTGGGTGGTGTTTAATGGAGTACCTCTTTGCACAGAAATTTTCTTGAGATTGGCGGGTGACCTAGTGTCAGTCTCACCCATTCAATGACCAAATTATCCTAACACGAGAGCCGTAGAGTACAGGATCCAGCAGCTCTTAAGTGCTTGACCTGTGCCCACCAATTTCGTGGCTTGGCTCCTAAGATGTCCCTTAGCAACAGCATTTACCTCTTGCGCACATTAACCCACAGCAAAGTTTGTCTAAACAGACATGGGTCTGGTGAGGACCATGAACCTGTCATTCTGTGAGGCCGGCTCAAACAGCAGGCCATGGTAGGGCCTGAGCCTGCGTTCTGCCCTATGCTTTTCCTCCTCATGACAAATGACACAACAGAGACAGAAACAGTGACCGTTTGTGTAAGGAATAGGATCAATAAATAAGACTTTTTTTTTAGCAGAGTTGCTAGACCCTAGGAACTAGTGGCACAAATATTTTCTCCTGCTGATCTAAATTTAGAAGAAGCGCTCTCACCATGCTCACTTCCAGTGCACCCTTCAGGCAGAGGGCTGGGAGACTGACAAGGTAAGAGTCCTTACCTTCTGCCGGCTTTTTGTCAGAGGCCCAGGATGTCCCAGTTGCAGCAGCCCCGCCAGTTTGAAAATCCCATCTGGGTCACCAGAACTGTAGGGATGGAAGAGGTTTCCCTCCTTCCCTTCTAGGTTCTTTGGCTGGGCTAAGAAATAGGTTGATAGAAGACTGAGTAACATGAAACAAACAAAAGTTTAACAACATGTATAGCTCCTGGTTACATGGGAGAGACCCAGGAAAACTGGGTCTGGAAACTGAAGTCTGGAAACTGAAAATTCCATCTTCAGCTGAAGAAAAAAGATTCTGGGGGTGGAGAGTCAGTTATGGGGGTGACCAGGAAAAGCACAGTGAACGGGGTTAGGCTGTTATGCAGATTTAAGTCCCTGCCAACTCCACTGATTGAACAGTTTCTGGAGATTTAGCCCTCCCCCACTTCCTGGTACTGGGAGGGAGACACCTTACACATGGAGATTTCCTGCAAACATGCAAATGTCTCTTATAAAAGGGTAACTTCTACTTGGTTTTCAGAGCTCCTCCCAAGTTGGCTGCTTCTCAAAAACAACCAGCCAAAAACAATCCCTGTGCCAAAGAGGCACATTTTGGGGGAGGGGGACACGTTCCACTCCCCTTCAGTGACATTCCTAAAATCACACAGCCTGCAGTACAAGGGTCAGGATTCAAATTCCATCTTCTACTCCCATTCGGGGACTCTTTCCATTGTTTTCTATGGCACCATTTCTATGATCCCCGAAGCTGCTTTCCTGGCAACAGTTCAAGTCCATACAATGAAAAATGACACCGCTAAAGAGGATGGCATTTATAAGGTGGGAGGAGAGGCATGAAGAGCAAGAACGTGGTTAAATAAATACCAACCTGTCAGAAAACAACAAAGAAAACATCAGCCGGAAATTTATGACCTGCAAGTATTTTTCCCTCCTTCTTCTGCCATGTATATTCATCCAGACTCCTTGTTCTTTGACCAAAACACCCAGAAACACGCCGGTCTTTTTTTGGCACAAGGAAGGGAGATGTTTTG